TCTGGCTTTCCCAGTGCTGATAGCATCTCCTGCCAGCACCCTTGACGTTCATTGGACATCTGCAATACATGTAACATGCAGCCACCAGGGTCAATCACTGCACGGAGACACACCGTGCTCACGCTGCAAGCCAAACACTGCCTTGGAATGGACATTGCACCCAGAGCATCCCTCGGACCACAGGGAGCTATCGCAGAGACACGCTGCAGGGAGCTGTCACTGCCCCAGGGACGTGTTTCCTACCATTCAGCAACTGCTTTCTTCCCACACGAGCCGACGTGCACAACCCTTTCCCATCCTGGCTGCCCAACATCCCAGCATAGTTCTCAGAAGGCTCTTCCCACACAAGAACCACCCACAGCTGCCCCAGCGCTGCTCACGGTGCTCCTTGCACCCGCTGCCCCCCCCCAGGCAACCTAACATTTGCCATAGGAGAGGTTTTGGCAAGGAAGCTGCATCAAATCACAGCTGCGGTTGGGATGTGGTTTCAATACTTTCCCCTTCATCCCTCCTCCCCGTCCCCAGGTTATACCAAACATCTACCCAAATCGGAGCTGCTCAACTGCTGCTGCAAGAGGTGCAACAGCATCAATAGAAGCATCAGCTCAGCTTGGCTGTGCTTGACCCTGCCACAGGCTGCTGGGCTGCCGGGAACCTGCTGACTACCCCGACTTTCCATGGCCAAAGCAAGTTTGGTTATGACCTACCTGCAGTGAGAACCACAGGCCCAAAGCCTCCCGACAGCAGAGTGAGTTTTCAGAATGAGTCAGAGCCAAGACAGCTCCTGTCATCCCCCAACACCAGCAGTGGAGCTCCTCTTCCAGGGCTCGCATCCCTATGGCTCGCAGGCTGCACCTCCCTGCGGTCCACAGCGCCCCAGCAGCGGTGCTGGAAGGTGCTCACCCCCCACCTTTTGGCATCACCCCCCCCAGCCCTGCAGGGCTGTGGGTGCTCCAGTGGGGACTCACCACTCCATGACGATGAGCAGACACTTCCTCCCCTGGTAGAGGTTCTCGTAGACGTCCATGATGCGGACGATGTGCGCGCACTGCGACGCTCTCCAGTGCAGCTCCACTTCCCGGCGGGCCTTCGGGCAGTCCTGCAGCATCTGTAAGAGAAACGAGACCCCATCAGCACCAAGCCCCCCAGGAGAACGGGGCTGTGACACCCCATAGGCACAGTGCCCACCGGAGAAGAGGAAGGGATGAAGGCCAAACGCGGGTGCTCTCCGCGAGCAGCATCGAGGTGAGCTCCAGCGACTCTGTGCAATGTCTCCATCCCCACCTAGTGGGAAAAGCACGAAGCCACCCGCCCTCATGAGCTTCTCACCCTCCCTTTCAAGGCTGGTGAAGCTCAGCCCGGTTGCTTGGCACCTCCCCACGCTCCGAGATGCCTCCCGGGAGCCCAGCCAGCCTGTGCCACCAACCAGCGAGACTTCCCACGGCGTTTACAAGCGAACCTCTGCGCACTGGTACCTGCAGCGCTGCAGCCCTGGGTGCCACCGCACAGCTCCGCTGGCCCCTTCGCACCCCCCAGCAGTGCTGCCCACCCATCACCTCCCACTCATCAGCCTCGTGCTCCGTGGCACTGGCAGGACCCTCCTGCCCCGGCACAAAAGCACCCTCACCGCGGCCACACGTGCCTGAGGAGGGGACAAAGCCCCAGCCCGATGTTCTCTAAAACTCAGCTTTTCCTCACAAGCAGCAGCAGCTCTTCAGTGAGGCTCCTGCCCTTCCCAGAGACAACCCAGTTCCCAGGTGCAGGAAGGATTTGCTCATCTGCCACAGACTATTAATTACCATGTTCATCTGGATAAACAACCACCTTAATTATTATACTCCCAAATATAGAACAACAAACGTGTCTATCTTTAGCACAGTTCGTTTTCCTTCCGGTCTCCGGCAGCTCCGGGGCCGGGCTTGGTGAAGTGCCCCTGTGCAGGTCTGCAACTCAATGGGACATGGGCACGGAAACACATCCCCTGCGTATCATAGAATCACGGAATGGTTTGGGGTTGAAGGGACCTTAAAGCTCCTCCAGCTCCAACCCCTGCCACGGGCAGGGACACCTTCCACTAGAGCAGGTTGCTCCAAGCCCCTGTGTCCAACCTGGCCTTGAACACTGCCAGGGATGGGGCAGCCACAGCTTCTCTGGGCACCCTGTGCCAGCGCCTCAGCACCCTCACAGGGAAGAGCTTCTGCCCAAGAGCTCATCTCAATCTCCCCTCGGTCAAGTTCAAGCCATTCCCCTTGTCCTGTCCCTACATCCCTTGTCCAAAGCCCTTCTCCAGGTTTCCTGGAGCCCCTTTAGGCACGGGAGCCACTCTAAGGTGTCCCCTTCAGGAGCCTTCTCCTCTCCAGGCTGAACCAGCCTGTTACATGGGTTTGGGTCACACCTCTTCCACCTCCTCAGCTCTCCTGCTTCCAAGGTGGAGGAAACTCATGCCAGTCAATGGGGTGTGAGGTGAGTTCTGGCACCAGACTATCTGGAAGCTTAGAGAAGACCAAAGTGGCCAAACCACCTTTTGTCCCAGGGTGAAAGGAAGACAGGACAAGAGGCTGGACAGAGCCTCCTTGCTCCTCTATTGCTTCATCATCCTAAAAACCAGATCCCTCCAGAGCCAAAGCCATAAGCAAGCACAGGGCCATCCCCCCAGCAGCCACACAGGCAGGGAAGGGGCCTGGAGAACAGCTTGGCTATTTGCAGCTCCACTCCCAAGAGCCTGGCGTGGGGAGCCAGGAAGCTGGAGAGCAAAACCCATTTGTAATTACACACCGGGAAAATTGAGCAGCAGGAAGCAGAGAGTTCACATCATTCTGCACAGGACAAACAGGAGAGCTACAGAAACACACACATCCAATTGTTCGAGGTCAATCAGAGCGCTTTGAAAGGAGCTTAATTGTGTTTCTAATGAACTGGGAGGCAGCAGCCTCTATTACCTGCACCAGCACAGCCCTGACGTTTGCTTTTGTACTTGCAGGTGAGCAAACAACCAGTGCCAGGTTCCCTCTGCTCCCGGGATGCTGAAGCTGCTTCTCCAGCTTCCAGAGGGGCAGATTAAACCTTATTAAGTGAATGATTTGCTCTATTTAGGAAATGTTCCCATGGCAGGTGGGAGCTGATGAGGCTGCAATGGGGAAGGCCATTACCGCTGCAGGGGGATGCAGGAGGGATGTAGTGATGCTCAAACCTCAGTAGAAGCAACCCACAGGCCTGGCATCACCCACTGCACACACACAGCCTCCATCCTGGCCTCAGCACCGGTTCCCTGTGCCCCAGGGAGCCAGGGATGTGCGGAACACAAACAGAAAGCACTGTCTGGTCCTGGGCCAGGGGAGGCAAGGGCAGCACTTCCAATAGTTCCTCACCAGTTTCTCCTCTGTAGCAGTGGAACCACCAGTGGGTGACATCCTGGTGTGACAGGCATTGGTCTGGCCACAGGAAAGTATTTTGGGGGGGAGGGTAGTAATGCTGCCCAGGTCCCTAATTTAGCTCCAGTATCCAGGGCAGCCCAAGACCTGTATTTCTTGGCTTGCAATGAGGAGGCTGGGATGGGAAATGCACTTCGTGTTTCCCCGAGGTTCAACAAGGGTGAACTGCCCTCATCCCACCCCAGCTGAGGGCACCAGCCTGGGAACACTGTCCCCTCCCACCAGCTTCCAAGGCAGGAGGTTTTGCAACCACAGTCATCCAGAGCACAACCACAGTTAACCCTTCATAGACGGGGGATGGCAGTAGGTGGACAACCCGACAGGAACCCCTGACAGCCCGCAGCTGCTCTCGGTTCAGCTTTTCCATCTCTTTGTCTCCTGCTCCCTTTCCAAAGATCATCTTGGAGATCAGATTCCTCATTACTTCCAATGGGAAAGGGTGCATAAGGAGAGGTCACAAGGGTAGCTCTGCAGAGGGCACACAGCCACCACCTCTGAGCAGAACCAGAGGTGACTCTTCACACTCACAAGCCACCTATATGTCCCTTTTTGGCAGTTAGGTGCTTTAGGCACAGGTCTCTGAACCTCCTCTCATGGTCAGAGAGCAGCTCATCCAGGTACCACTTCAAAACCACATGGAACAGGGGATAACCAGGAGAGCTGTGCCACACCAGAGCCCTGCACTGTCCCATCTCCACTTCCCACTGGGGCTCCTACCCTGCACTCATTAGCTTCAAGCTGAGGGCTCTAAAACTGGCCCTGCAGCCCCTAGAGTCAAAGAATACCTTGGGTTTGAAGGGACCGTCGAAGAGCAGGGACATCTTCAACTAGACCAGGTTGCCCAGACCCACATCCAGCCTGGCCTTGAGTGCTTGGGATGCCCCCAGCATCAAAGGCTCCTCAGGGGCTCCCGCAGCAGCTTTTCACCACCTTTGAAAGACAAACCCTGGAAGAAGCTGAAATGAAATGGCTCATGGGGTGTCTGCAGGGGGACAGCACCCACCCAGCAAACCCGAACCCCAGCAAGCGATGGAACCCCATTCACTCAGTAGCACGTTGACCTGAATTCCCCCTCCATCATCTCACACCGAGTGCAGGGAAGGCGGGTGGGCGCCGGGGAAGGAAGGAAGGAAAACGCCGGAGAAAACAAGGGAGCTGGAGCCTCCCACACTCACACGCGTCCTCAGGCAGCACTGATTCAGTCTCACCGCCTCCTCCTGGGACGATGTGCCATGAATCAGGGCTCCAAAGGAAGCTCCCTCCTCCACTGGCATGGCAGGAGGTCCCCAGCGAGCTGCCCCTCGCCCTGGATGCCACCACAGCCCCAGTGGTGCTGTGAGAACACACCGTGCTCGCTCAGATTGGCAAGATACCCCTTTTCCAAGAGCTTGCAAAGGAAAATTCACCTCCCATGGGCAATTCCCATGAAAACTGAGGATCAGGCACACACCAGCACGTCGAGCTGCTCACTTTCCAGGGCTGCCCCTCTTTGTGCTCCAGCTGCTGTTGCAGGCAGGGTTATTTTTATTGCCATGTGTATTTTGATCACACCTCAGCTCCCAGCAGAGCAGCACATGCTGCATTGCCTGGCCCGGGCAGCAACCACCCCTCCAACAGGACCCTGCCACCCCAAGGAGCTCCCCATCAGGCACCACAGGGGTTAAAATGAGCTCTTCTTAAGTTGCAATAAAAATAAACCCACAGTGAAGACAGGCAGGCTGTCATCCTCCCGTGTCACCAGCAAAGCAGGGGTTCCCTGCCTCTGTCGCACACACAAGGTCCAGGATCCCCTGTCCCGTTAGCACAGGGCAAGGTGCAGTTTTTCCTAATAAAGCAAAAGGCTTTCTCTCCTCCAAGGATTTGCCTCTTCTAATCTTTCCATGCAAGCTGGTTGCCAACTGGTGTCAGCTGCTTAACGCGCTCACAGAGCCGGTGCTGGATGCTCTGCACATGCTGTTCCCACCTCGCAGCGCCGGGAAGGCAAAGCCTCATTGCTCCCTGCATGAGGCACAGGGCTGGATCAAGCTGATCATCCCCCATGTGTCTTTCTTCTGCCTTTAATGCCAGCACATTTGGGGAGCCCAGAGGTGATCACCCCAAAGCTGCTCCAGCAGCACAACCCAGCAAAGCCTCGTTCCACTTTCCCTGTTAGGAACTACAAAAGAAAAGTAAAATCACGAGTTTCAAAGCCCGTAAGAGGAATTATGTTACCAAACACAGGGAAACTCACAGGTCAACCGCAACGCAGGAACAATTAAACGTGCACCTCAGGAAACCTCCCCCACACGATCATGGCTCTTTTATACAAAGCCTTTACATTAACCCCATCCCCATCCACGAGCGCTCAGACAGAGGCAATGGGACTTCCAAAGATAGGATCACTCCTGCGTTTGCCCACGCACATGGAGCCACATACGGGCCCTGCATGAAGAGCTTTAAGCCCATCAGACCAGGCAAAAGCCTCATCCTCACGTTTCTTTTGCCTGGGGCAAGCCAGAAAGGACAGGTGATGTGTCTGGAGCAGGAGCTGTGCATGGTTCCAGCAGCGTCCTGCCTGCAGCATGCCCCAGCCTGCCACGCCAGGGTGATTTCAGAAGGGTGGCTGCTGCTCCCTGATGGCAATGGCTCCATCTGAGCCTCATGTTTGCAGGTCAGGACAGCACTAGTCACCAGCTAC